ACAATCATATCTCGTGGAGGGACCTCGTGGGACAATTAGGCGGAACCCTCGGCATCTTGTTCCCATGAAACGCCCTCCAGACCAAACAGAGAGTGATAGTGGGGAGCCAGAATTGGCAGGATCCGGGGAGCAGTGCTCCACAGACATTCCAGTGACAGTTTCTTCAGAACTTCCATCTACACCCAGAACCAGATCTGGGAGAGTAGTTGTGAGACCAACCAGACTAGACTTGTAATGGATCACATGAAAAGCACACCCCTCTGTCACAGTATTCTTTGCACAGTAAGGGAAAAGCTAAAGTTTGTAATTTTCAAATATGTATGTCCAGAAGTTGGGAAGCACCAGGAATGGGAATCATACAGTGGACACGTGTATAATTAATAACATGACAGGTTCTGTTTCATTAAACAATTTCTGCCAATATTTAACTGTCAGACAAATGGCCTCACATTTGTTTCTAGAATACTTTGGTAAACAGACATTTCCACCAAACGTGTTGCTGTGCATCATGGACAAATGTCTTTACTTTGGTCTCATTTGTTCAAAGGACGTTTTTCCAGAACTCTTGTGGTTTATTCAGATGCAACTTTACAAACCTAACCTGTGCTGCATCGTCCTTGAGTTTTACCTGACCTAAAGTTTTTGTTCATGATTATATTTAGCAGTAATATTTGGCAAAACATCAGCACAGGTGAGGACAAGATGTCAACAGGGCATAACCTCACCTTAACAGAGTGAAGAAGCTTTTTAAAAATGTTATTTAAGAATTTGGCCTCTGAGAAAATTGTTTTGCTTATGTCATCATATAAACTGCTCATGAATATAAATGAAGGCTTTGTATTGTTTTTCCCACAGTTATCCCAATGTGGATCCAAACAGCTGTCTAATGTGTAAGAAGGTTTTGAGGGATCCAGTCCACTTCAAGTGTGGACACTGGTTATGCAAACAGTGTGTGAGCTCAAACTGGGATCAATCTGGCTCACATGCAGAAAATCTCTGCCTGGGTTGTATTGAGAAATGCCGCCTTAAGAATGTTGAAAGCACAGGTAAGCTTCCACAGGTAAATGCTACTGTCACTGGGATCTTTGATATGTGTGCACCATTTATCCTTGGAAATAAAAGTGATTGCAGCAATCTTACACCAGCTAAACTGCATTTATACTGATAACCTTTTCTTGTTGTGTGACATGTTCTTTTGACATAGAGAGAAGTAGCTTGCCATCACCAGTGTGTGAATGTGTGTGTGAATGGGTGGATGACTGGATGTGTAAAGCGGGGTCTAGTCCTTAGGGACTAGTAAAGCGCTATATAAATACAGGCCATTTACCATTTTACTTCTTACCTAAGGTTGTTTTTGCATCTAGTTCTTTTACTCTGGTCTGACTTAGTTGACAACTTATAAAACTTCAAATTTCAATCAAATCAAATGCATTCATGAGCACATTTAAAAACAACACGGGTTGAACCAAAGTGCTGTACATAATGAAAATGGTGAACATTCATAGAAAATACAATGGAAGACTAGTCACAATTGAAGGCTAGAAAATACAAGTGCGTTTTCAAGCGGGTTTCAAAGATGTCAAGCGTTGGTGAAGACCTAATGTTAAGGGGCAGACTGTTCCAGAGCTTGGGGGCAGCAACCGCAAAAGCTCAGTCATATCTGTTTTTCTATCTGGTTCTGGGGATATCCAGAAGCAACTTATCTGCCGACTTAAGAACTCTGCTTGGAGTATTATTTAAAGTTAAAAAGTTAAAAGTATTAGTTAAAAGGTCCAAGAGATAAGATGGAGCTAATCCATTCAGAGATTTAAAAACAAACAACAAAATCTTGATTTTGATTCTACGACGTACTGGTAACCAGTTTAAACGTGCCAGGATTAGAGTGATATGTTCAAAATGGCGAGTGACTGTTAGGAGTAGGGCCGCCGCATTCTGAACTAGCTGCAAACGAGAGA